AGTTTTTGAAACTCTTATAAACTCAGTCTGTGAATAATCAGACCTTTGGAAGAGTCGTCGTTGATTGCTTACTACAGACTCTGCAGTACAGAGAAAAATGATGTCCATCCTTCATTCATTAAACAAGCAATACATTCGGCTTGCTATGTGCCAGGCACTGTTCTAAACACTTTGCATACCAAATCCACTGGGTGAGTACTGTCTGTATCCCATTATGCTGGTGAGGAAACTGAGATTTAGAGATTACTGCCTGGGATCCAGTGTCTAGATGTGGTTGTCATTCAAACCAGGCAGTCTATCCAGAATATGCTCTTAGTCACTGTGCTATGTTAGCTCTCATGTAGGTTGGGGCAGAAAATCCAAAGCACACGTTGTTTTAAAAAGGAAATATGAAATTATTATGTATTTAAGAGCTAAATTATGAAACAAATATGACTTTTTATGCATTCAGGGGCATAGTGTTTAGAGACATGAATAACAAGTATGAACTGCAGTAGTTAGAAAAAATTTCTTGAATGAGTTGCATTCCAGAAGTGGGGATAGAATTTGTATAGAAGCAAGGAGAATGGAACTACTCTCAGGGTCATTCAGGTGACCAACTTGAGTCACGCCGTAGAGACAGCGATTGGTTTTTCCAAATAGTGTATAATGATCAACTGAATTATCAATATTTAGTTTAATATTTTATAGAAATGAATAGGAGAATTCCCATTTATTTAGCCCTTTAAAAGCCAGGAAAATAAATTTAGGCTTTTGATATTAGGAAAGTATGGCTTTAAAGAGTAAGAAAGTAGAGCTTTGGACAGGGGATTAATGTGATGAAAGCATTTGCATCATACGAATCTGGAATTGTATGCTGAAGCCGTTAGAAAAACAGAGGATAGAGTCCTGGAGTCCTGGAATCCAGGTGTTAGATAGGAAAGGCAGTGGTTAGAGTGAAGACATTGGGAATGAAGTGGAGTTGAACTCTAAAGAGAAATTCTGAAAGAACAAAGGCTGAATTGCTAGCTGACGGGACATGAAGGATAAAGCGAGAGTATACATTTGAGAAATATCATTCCCAGATTTATATTTCTCCCTCTCCACTCCTTCTTCTCCTCACCCCCTTCCTCTGTCTCTGTCTGTCTCTGTCTCTCCTTCCCAGGACCCTCCCACCTCCTCCACAGATCAGTTATTTTATTGGGATTAGGGATCACTAGTTAGGAATTACTGTTTTTGTATGAGAACTTGAGGTTTTCAGATGGTTTGGAAAAACTTTTTTGGGAGGGTATCAGTTTCATCGTCCTGGTAATATGTCTGTTCTGTTTAAATAAATTTGGCCATTCTCTTTTGTTTCAAAGATCTGATTTTTAACGGCTCTTCTAATTGATAACAAAATTATAGCACAGTTTAACTAAGAATACCAGTTTCTTACCCACAGTGTTAACTCAAAAGACTCCTCACGAAACTCCAATCGAGCCTTTCCTGTCCTAGCAACCACCAAGAAGGGAAGGGGGTTTGTGATTCTCTAGAGATAACAGTATGCTGGAATTTGATTCGAATGAAAGACAAAAAAGGTAGTAGATGAAATTGTACCTATCAAGATAAATCCCATAGTTTTTCTCTGAAGGAAATATGTGCTTTGGGGAGTACATTAAATCTTCAGATGTTACACCTGCAAAAAAATTAGATTGTTTTCCCAAGTCACTTACTTAATAGCTTCTTTTAATGCATTAATTATGTGCTATATAGCTGGTTTCTCTTTCAATTGAAAGCAAATATACACGATATGTCGTGTTTTTTCTTTTTTTTTTTAATTCTTATTGCATAGAAGTATTCCATGCTTAGTAACTTATATTGCACCATGCCTAGGATTTATATTATGGACCATATATATGTGAAATCATTCTTTTTGATTGGATCAGAGGCATCCAGTGTGTATTGAAAGACTATAGCAAATGGTGTGGCCAAAAAGACTGCATATGTAGAATGAGAAATACTAGTGCTCTGAAGTTAGGAGCTAGAAAAATTTGAGATCTAGAAAGATCAGTGTGCTATGAAAGACTACAAAGATAGCAAGATTTCAAGGAAGAGAGGAGCCCAAAGTATAGCATGGAGACAGGAGTTCTGGCTAGAATCTCAAGAATTATAAAGCAGAGATCCCACTGCAAAGATCTGAGTAGGAGAAATTTGAACTCCAGCTCCAAAGGGACAGGCAGGGCATGAAACTTGTATTCTGACAAACTAGAGTTGAGCTCAAACCTGGACAGGGTCTGGACAGCAGGTATGGTGGACACAGCTAGCCTGAACCAGATTCTTCTGGAGCCAAGGTTATGTTAATAAGCTTTTTGCCCAGGATGAGGTGGAGGGAGTGAAAGTATAACATCAAAGTACCCCAAAGTTGAGGGACCAAGTAATACTGGAAAAGTTTGTAAAAATGAATTATTGGAAGCCAGTTAATTCATAACCTGAATTTTGTTTTACCCTGAGTCACGCATGATGTCCCTCAAAGTATATAGCTTCATTTTGGCCCTTAAGTGGTGGGTATTTTATCTATTTATTTTAACATTTTGAGAGCAGACAGAAATTTAGTTGTGAGAGCTTTTAGAAATTCTTTTAAGTCCTTAATATTTATCATAGAACTTCATATTTCAGAGTTATTTTTGTTCTTACCTCTTCCTTAAAATGTATTCCTCTCAAAGCCTTCCTCTTGAGTCCCTTGGTAATGTATGCTCCAAGATTTAGCTAATAACTCAATTATATACAATGATTATTAAAATACATTTTAACAAATATGCACCCAAAGGTAGAAACAATGTTTTTTTCCATAAACTTGTTTTCTCTTTGACCTACAAATGGTTTGCTTAGACACTGAGCATTTGATTATTTTTTATGGGTAAAATTTGAAAGATTTATTAATTAGAACAAAAATCTAAATGAGAAAGTTACAGTCAAAAGGTATGAGTGAAATTTGGCTTAAACAATATATAATAATCTGTATCTCACAACTTGATTGTAATTTAGTGTTTTTAAAAATGCTTTACCTATTTCTAAACTAACAATATTATAAATGCCTTTCTCCACTTCTCTATTCTAAATCAGCTGAATCACTGAGCCACCAAATATTTTCTGAATTGCTTACTGTAATTCTATCAGGATGTATAAGCATTATTTGTTAGCCCATGTTTAACTCTTTGTCTGCAACACTATACTGGAAGTGCAGAAACCATCTCATCTGGTTTATTGTATATTAGTAGAATCTAGTGCATACTAGACCCTCAATACTTTATGAAGAAATGAATGAATTGATGTGATATGAATTTCACTGAATGTTAGTTTTATGTAATGTTTTTCTTCATCTTCCACTTGTATTAAAATGTCTTCTTTCAAGTCTTTTAATTGGAAAAGTGCTGTCTTTAATTAAAATAGAAGCTATTTAGCTATAAATATCTTTTAAAGTATTTTTCTATGAAATTGAATATTAAGATTTTACCAGAAGACAAATTTTAGCAATATGTTTTTCAGAAATTATTTTAAAGTCACAAACTTTCTAAAAAGAACCTGTTTTAGTATGATAGTGTGATTAAAAGAATGTTATCTGTGGTCAATAGGTAATATCATGAAAACTATTGGGGGTTGTTAATTACCTTTGTTTGTTTGTTAGTTTGTGGTTAGGATCCGTGATGTCATTAATCCTGGGGATTTTTGCTTCCAGGTAGTCATTCCATGCTCATATTTGAGTTATAAGCAACTATTTTTATTTTTTTAACTTTTGTTTTCTTATGCTAATTATAATTCTGAACATCTGTGGGTTATTTGCTAAGTAAAGATTTTCTCCAAACCAAGGGATTGTTAGGTTTAAGACTAAGAATTCTTTCTAACACCATTCAAATTATTTTGTAAATTTCAGAAACTATGCATGAGTATTTAAAAATTGTATGACCTTAATACCAGGAAATTGCTAAAGCTCCTAGTCCTAATATAGTGCCCCACCTTGTATCTTTTGCGGACATTGTCTGATCTGAGGGCCACAATAATCTGCAGGATAGGTGTCATTACTCCTATTTTACAGGAAAAGCAGAAGTTGACACCATAATGACCGTGTCAGGGCTATTTGGCTTCTGGTCCTTTTCTTTCCAGTATTCTTCAGTTTTCAAGCAGGCAGTCGAGTAGTGTCTGGATTTCGAGGAGAAAGTTTTAGACTGGAGATATATTGATAAATTTATACAAGTACAAATTTGGTGTTCTTACCAAGAATTGTTTTTTAATAGAATTAGTTGAAATGATTTCTAAGTGTGGGACCCGGCCAGTATTGAACGTGAAATACAATTGTTTTTAAATGCTCTACCCTAGCAGTTTTGCCTTTTTTTTTTTTACCCTTACCTGTTTCGTATGTACAGGAATTTCTCTAATGCCTTAAGAATTTCTGGATTCCTGAGTCAGAATTCTGGGAGACGTTTCCCTTTTTACCTGTGTATTTGCATTGTTTATACGAGTGCTGTTCAAAAGAAATATAATGCAAGCTGATTATGTACTTTTAAATTGCCTAGTAGCCACATTAAAAGTATATACATAAAGAAACAGGTGAAATTAATTTTACTTATATATTTTATTTAAACTCATGTATCCAAAATATTATCATTTCAACATGTAATCAATATTATAAAATTGTGATATTTTTACTTTTTTTGTACTAAGTCTTCAAAATCCAGTATATATTTTATATTTGTAGCACATCTCAATTGAGACTAAGCACGTGCTCATTAGCCAGTGGCTAATTGGACAGCAGAGGCAGGCCTCTAAATTATAAATAGACATAAATAGATCTGGTCACTGGATCCATGACTTGTTCAAACCCCCTCGACACACGGTGTTCCCAGAAATTAACCATAGGCTTCTTAATTGTAGGAAACAAATTTATTATTTATATTATCAGAACTGAAAATATAGAAATGTTTTATATTCTATTCCAAATAAATGAAAATGTATGTAACTTACAAAAGTAATGTTGTACTTTACAGAGAGGAGGGCCCTGGAAAGTATCAAAGAGGGAGTCTTGAAAATCAAAGAAGAGCCATCTAAAATACTATCTGGAAATAAGTTTCAAGACCGATATTTCGTTTTACGAGATGGTTATCTCTTTCTTTACAAGGATGTGAAGGTATTTGTATATGTAGTATTTGAATATGCATACATTTTTGTGTGGGTATTAATATTCTTATTTTATACCTCTCTCAGCCCTCTTGGAAGTCAAGGCCTTTAGTAAATAAAATGCATAGTAAGCTGATGATTTCTTTCAGTCTCTGGGATATGACATTAATGTGCTCAGTATCACAGTAAAGACTTCCATATATGGCCTTTCTGAGCCCCTCACATTTTTTAGTGAGAGAATGACCTAAGTCCTAAAGAAAAGTCTAATATATGATGTGTTACAGAAGCTAGCATATAAATCAGCAACTCAGTCAATAAAGTTGACTGAGAGAATGTGTCATGCCCTAAGGCAAAAGTGGCTTGAGTTTAGCTATTGGAAATTAATAAAATGTGAAATAAAAAGGCAAAACCCAAAAGTTAAAATAAATCTGATTAATATATTTCCTATACGTTTGAATGGATTGACTCATGTAATATTGTATTTATTCATTGAATCTTATTGACGTATTTCTCTGAGTTTGAATTCCCGAAAAGCTTTTGTTAAAGAATTGTAGAATGGGCAGGGGAAGTAGAGATGAAAAAGAAAGAGTAGATAAATGATACAGCCATAAGAATATTGAACTTAGCATCAGAAAATCTCAAATCCACTGAGTTGGTTGTGTGAATAAGAAACTTAACCTCTCAACCTCAATTTCTGAATCTCTAATATGATGACGATAGTGAGTCCTGCATGCCAGATTGTTTTAATGCTTAAATAAGAATATGTGTAAAAGTTCTTTTTAAGCAGTGAAACATTTATATATATATAGTAATAATAGCGTGCTCATCACAAGAGTCCACTAAGATATGAATAGGCAAGTCTCAAACTGAGAAAAATATACTCACGGTACATATATCTGAAAAAAAAAAGGACTTATATCCAGAATATAAATAACTCCTCCAAATCAACAATAAAAAGACAGACAACCCAATAAACAGTGGGGCAGAGTATTGAACAGACAGTACATAATGGAAGACTTAGGAATGGCATTAAGCCATTGGCATAAGCCATTGAGCCAGAAGGTGCTTAACATCATTAGTCATTGGGGTAATGCAAATTAAAACCCCAAGATACTAATACACACCCATTACTATGACTGAAATAATACGAGTGACAACACCTAATGTTGACAAGGATGTTGATTAACTAAAACTGTCATAAGTTGCTGGTGGAAGGGTAAAATCACACAAACGCTGTGTAGAGCTGTTGGTAGTTTTTAAAATAAAGTTATTTGTACATCTTACATGTATGACCCAGCAGCTCTATTCCTAGATATCATGTCCACAAAAGCACTTGTTCAAGAATGTTCATAAGCAGCTTTATTCATAAAAGCTGCAACCTGGAAACATTCCACATACCTATCAATAGGAGAATGATATATTCATATAATGGAATACTACTCAGCAATAAAAATAAGTGAATGCTAATGCATGCAACAACGTGTTTGAATCTTCAAATCATTGTTGAGCAAAAGAACACAGAATAGTACCATATGAGTGTGTTCATAAGCAATCTGAGAACAGGCAAAACCGTTTGTAGTGATAGAAGTCAGGAATTGTTTGCCTGGAGTGTGGAGAAAGCTTGCTGTGGAATTGTGAGGAGATAGAGTAAGTAGGGTACTTTCTAAGATGTTAAAAATAGATGTTCTCTGTCCAGTGTTGGGTGGTGCTTACATGGGTGTATACAGTAACATCTCTATTTCCTTGAGATTCAAGCAATACCCATGCAATTATTTTAAATGTAGAGTGACAGCAGGACATCGAGACACCTTTTTTTTTTTTAATTTTTTGTTTATTGCAGTAACATTGGTTTATAACATTGTATAAATTTCAGGTGTACATCATTATACTTATGTTTCTGCATAGATTACATCATGTTCACCACCCAAATATTAATTACAACCCATCACCACACACATGTGCCAAATTATCCCTTTCGCCCTCCTCCCTCCCCCCTTCCCCGCTGGTAACCACCAATCCAATCTCTGTCTCTATGTGTTTGTTTATTGTTGTTATTATCTACTACTTAATGAAGGAAAT